CAATGCATGACCAACAACATTATTTACAAAGCAACAGTCACAACGAACAACACGAACGACACTAAACACAACATTGGTATGACAGCGACTACATTTAAGGAACGTTACGCTAACCACACTTCATCTTTTCGTCATAAAAAAGACTCAAACAAAACGGAACTTTCGAAACATATTTGGAAATTAAAAGAAAACAATCAGGATTATACCATCAAATGGTCAATTTTAAAACACGCTATTTCGTACACAGGGGATCAAAACGCTGCAATTTATGTTTGGAAGAAAAATTTTGCATTTTGAAAGACATAAACAAAGACAATTTACTCAATAAAAGAAGCGAAATTTTCGGCAAATGTCGTCACAAAAACCGGTTTCGAGTAAACAAGGTCGTTAACAAAACCTAATGACCCAAGCATGCATGGTTTCACCTAAGCATTGTTTCGCCTACACGCATTCCGCACATTCTTTCGATAGCATAAAAGCAACCTACAATTTCGAAATTATTCACCACCTGATGATTCCTATACGGATGAAACAGACTGTTGTGGTTTTTTGAGGTAAAACGAAAATATATATATATATATATATATATATATATATATATATATATATATATATATATATATATATATATATACATATATATATATATATATATTGCACACGCTCACTGCTTGCAGTTTGAGCGCTCTGGCATGGTTTTGATGTCCCACAATCGTGAGGCATCAAAGGTAACTGTAAATAGCAGTTACTTTCATCCTGCTCATCAGCACTACACTGATGAGGCCCATAAGGCCGAAACAGTACCGTCTGTAGTTATATATATATATATATATATATATATATATATATATATATATATATATATATATATATATATATATATATATATATATTTGAAGATTTGTAATCCAGGCATTTTATTAAATTATAATTTTTACAACATTATACAGTGTTCTCCGGATTGTAATTATTAAATAATAACAAATAATTATTAATAAACTTTAACAAATAATTACAATCCGGAGAACACTGTATAATTTTGTAAAAATTATAATTTAATATATATATATATATATATATATATATATATATATATATATATATATATATATATATATATATATATATATATATATATATATATATACATATTTTCTATGGATATGCTGCAATAAATTCATTATTATTATTATTACTATATTAAATATTATTATTATATTATTATTATTATTATTATTATTAGATTAAATATAATTTTAGGTGTATCTTTATATTACTATTAGTATTCTACCTTTGTATATTTTGACTTGTTGGAATGTAGGGCACCTGTTGATAACAGCATTACTTGTGACGCTGAAAGGTTTACCCTACTAAAATAAAGTTTTTCATACTCATACTCATGCTCATACTCGTCCTACCTGTTCGGCTGTTCCACTTTCGATACGAAACATGGAGCGCCGAGTTATCATACGACACATTCAAGTGTACAAATTATGGATGATTCCAATTCACTACAAATATTTCTTACTCTTATTCTTTGAAATATTAAAGATTTGGGAACAATGCTATACCAAGACAGCATTCACTACCCTGTGGGTAAACTAGTACGTGCTATAGCAAGCAAGCATGGCGGTCTGTTCGTGGCTGCTTGTTAAAGTTATATTTTATTCAATTTTATTGATTCTACTTAATATCAAGGCTTACAATATTGAATCTATGCAAGTGTACAACCTCAGGGAGAACTTTCGGGCTGTTAGCGAATTGTCTCGTCCAGTATTCAACGACATTTGTCATCTAAAACGTCGACGATCGTCTCAGCTCGCTGATTCTACGGCAAATTTTAAAGCGACCAAAGTTATTCATCTTACAAGGGATATGTTGTTGGTAACGTTACTAAAACTCTGTGGTGATGTTGCTCTAAACCCTGGCCCTGTTCAACTAAATTTGCAATCGCCAATATCTAAAGGTTTAAAGATCTGCCACTGGAATATACAACGGCTTACAACAACCAAACAAGACGAAATAAAGATTAGCCTCACGGAAAATTCGAACAATTCAAACAAGATCGATATTCTGTTTTTATCGGAGACATTCTGCACGAACAAGACTCCTGACTACCTATACGCTATCACGGACTATAAATTATTTCGTAAGGACAGAATAGGTAAGCTTGGCGGAGGGGTTATGGCGTTTGTACATAAAGATCTGGAAGTTGAACGGCGAATCGATATGGAGGACGATGACTTAGAGGCACTGTGGCTAGAAGTTAACCCGCACAAATCTAATAGATCATTGTTTGTTGCTGGGGTATATCGTCCGCCATCATCGAATGTAGATATGGACAAGAAACTTGGTAGAAATATTGAGAATGCGAAACTGCGTAATAAAGAGCTTATTATCATGGGGGATCTTAACGTTGACTATATGACACCTGAAAAGTTTTGTAAACAAAAACTAATGAAGAGCTTGTTGAATCTTAATCTGTCCCAGTTGGTAAATCAAATCACAAGACCTATGTCGCAATCATGTCTGGATCATATATGGTGCAGTCACCCAGAACGAATCAGACAGGTAGAAGTGTTGTCATCAGGTATGTCTGATCATTTACCTATAGTTGCTGTAAGAATATACAAAAAATTGAAAGACAACAAAGGTGAGCATCATAACATTACGTATAGGGACTTTAGGAATCTGAATGAACAAGCTTTTTGTGAGTCTTTGTCTTCCGCTCCATGGGATTGTGCATTCACTTTTGATGACCCCGATGATATTGTTTATGCATGGTATAATATTTTTAACAGTATTGTTGATCAACATGCACCATTGAGACAAAAACGAGTTAAAAGAAAGTCTCAACCTGATTGGTTTAGCAAAATTCTTGAAGATGTGCTAAAGAAAAGAGACAAGCTACTCTACAGAGCTAGACAATCACAATCTGATTCCGACTGGTCAGCTTTTAAAAAGGCAAAAAATAAAGCCACTAATTTGTTACGAAAAACTAAACAAACGTATTTTAAGAATAAAGTGGCCGAAAATAGAAACGATCCTAGAAAATTATGGCGTCTAATTCGCGAACTCGACGGCGTGAATGTCAAGGAAAATTTTACATGGCGTTTGAATGACGGTGATAAGTTAGTATCGGACAAGTATCAAATTGTTGAGATGTTTAACTCATACTTTATCGAACTACCGAAATCAATTTTCACTGAATTAATTAATATAACTGGAGACTATATTTTCCCAGAGAAACGAGTTCACTCGCAGCTCGAAATCCCCCACATTACACCTGAGCAAGTGAATGATTTTCTGGATCAAATTCCTGTAAATAAAGCTACCGGCCCAGATGGTGTAGGTATACGGCTTCTCAAATTAGCTGCCCCTGTAATTTCAGAATCGCTCAGCAGAATAATTAATTCCTGCATAATAACTGGAAAATTTCCAACAAAGTGGAAAGAGGCGAGCGTTACACCTATCTACAAGGGTAAAGGTTGTAAAAGTGAAGCCTCAAATTACAGGCCCATATCAGTGTTGTCCGGCTTGTCTAAGGTGTTTGAAAAGCACATTGCGTCATCATTGCGTGCTCACTTGAAGGAGAACGCCTTGTTGTATGGATTACAATCCGGCTTCCGGAAGTCATTTTCCACTGAAACTGCATTAATAAGGCTTTTGGATCAGTTGCTTTTCAACCTTGATGAAAACTGTGTTAGCGGTCTGGTCCTCGTTGATTATAAAAAAGCATTTGATTTAATAGACCATAACATCTTGATTAAAAAGCTTTTTTCATATGGAGTACATGGCCAGTCTCTGGAATTGTTCAAAAGTTATCTTTCTGATCGATCCCAATATGTCAATGTGGACGGTGTTAAGTCATCCTCTAGGCCTGTCGAATGTGGTGTGCCCCAAGGATCTATACTTGGGCCCATTTTATTCATTATATTTATTA